TTTTCTTTCCGCTTGTTTTGTATTTTTTATATATATATATATATATATATATATATATATATATATATATATATATTATTCTTAGTTCAGCTTCTTAAAAAATCTTTAAAAAATCTATTGTTTTGAACCCAAACTCTTACAGGCATTACAAACTGACTTCAGTGATTTCTGAACTGCTATTCATAGGTTCATTTGATAGAGTTAACTATGTTTGTCTCTAGCTGACTGCTTGGCAACCCCGGCTGATGAAGCCGGAGCTGAGCTGATTCTAGACACTGGCCAATCGATTGGTGTGTCTCAGCTTTTTGTGTAGCCAACAAAGTCTGCGAGTTAAGCCAAACCCACACAACTCTAACACAAAACACAGCAGCTCACTCAGCTGCTAGCGATTTTTAGGCCAATTACCTCTGAATTGCTGGTGTGTGCGGAATTCAGCAGCAAGTCAGACTCATCGTTAAAACAATATTTAAAAAAAATAAAATAAAAATAGTGGTAAACTCACTCCATGTGGGAGTTAAAAAAAAATAATAATAAATGCTGATTCTCACCTGAACAGCGCTGTTGAGGAAGCAGCTGTTCTGGCCAGGCTCGTTCAGCAGACCTTTAGTTAGCGCGAGGGACACCATGCTCCCAGGTTGGTAGGACTTCTTCAGGCCTCCTCCGGTTTTTTTGAACTTCTTCACCCATGCCATGGAGTTAGAACCTGCAGCTGAAGAAAAAACTCTGCTTGCATCCTTTGTAGTGAGGTACAAAGAAACAGTTTGTGCTGTATCCAACAGCGTTCTCATCCTGGAAGGATGACACCCACTGATTGTGCACGCATTCTGTAAAGCAAGGGCTTTCATTGCTGTGACATGAACAGACAATTGATTCGTGACATGACAGGGGCCTTAGACGATTAATCCGGTTCATCTTCAACACAGTTCATTATGTCAGTAACATGAATCACCAGTCTGGTGGTCTGTGAGAGAGGAATCCCTGCCACCAACCTTCTCCAGAATTGGCAGGAGACTTGCTGCAGCCGGACATGCTGGAACATGGGAGCTGGTCGTTGGGTGTGGCCACTGACTCCGTCCATTTCACCCCCACGCACCTCCACGGCGGTTCGTGGAAAGCATGTCCAGGATCAGCCACAGGGCAGGCTAAGACAGGTGCTACTGGGCATTGAACAGCAGCTGGAGGAGAGGGAGAGCTGGGCTGCATTTAAACGATTTTTAAACCCTAAGACAGCCATACATTTGGGAAGAAAATGCATACTAATAGGTTTATATACATCATGCACTAATAATTTCTTATCTTCATTCACAGACAATGCACGGATCTTGCTCAAATTTCTGTTTTCAAACTTTAAAGAAATGCAAGTCTGCTCACAAATAGGCTCTGGTTCCTTTTAGCAACATCTGTTTGTGCTCACATTCAATGACTTGTTCAACATTTGTCTGCTACTGTTTGAGTCATGCAGCTTGCTCTTAAACTTCCTCTTTTAAGATAAAAACTGCATTCTGATATCTGAACACCCTAAAAGCATATTATTTTATCACCGTGTTCTTTGAGGATGATTGTTTTGATCGTGAAATTACGTCTGAGGATGTAAAGTGTGCCCTAAACTGGAAAATGTATGTTCTTTTATTATTTTTATATTATTTTTGTTTTTTAAAAAAAGTATTATATTTTTTTCAAACCTTGCATTGCTTTGCTTGAGAGATTGTTTTAGGGTAAGATTGTTGTTTCACACAGGAATATCATTGGTGACGCCCCAAGACCATGTAATCTAGATTTACCCTAAATTAAGATGCTAAGAGAGTAATATTTTGCATGATATTAACTGCTTGTAAGACTTTAAATCAACCTCAAATGGATGGTCCATTCTTATTTAGAAGTTGAAATTGCCATGCTTCTAGTTGTGGAGCTGAACAGAGCAGTGGGAATTTCAAGTGGGAAAGTCTGAGGTTTCTCACCAACTCCCAACCTCAAAATCCACATGATTGCCGCACTGCATATAAAATGCAGTTTAATTGTTCTCCTAATGATTTTTATTTCACTCAGTCTTTCATATTCTCAGTACTGTTTAACCATCTTTAGTTAAAGGTGTGGCCAACATTTGGATATTTGCAGATAAACACACTATTATTAGCTCACATTGCTAACAGTCAGAAACTTGGTCAGTAGTTAATAATAATCTAGTAAATCCCTCTGCATTTTGAACTTGGGATCAGAGCACAGTTAAGTTGGGTTTGATGTCATTCCTCAATTGAAATTGTGACTTCAGAAACAAAATACAACGCAGTTTAAGTAGCCATTTGCACACATTTCTTTTTGATGGCTTCATTTCATACTAGACATTCTTGAAATATGTTTTTCTCAGCTTCTCAAGAATTGTTTTGATAAAGGAAAGATCAATGTGGGTAACATATCTTACTGTCTACGAAACCTCATTGTTTCTACATCACTTTGTGTTTATCTTACAGATATTTGATACAAAATAATCTCTGGTATTCAGAGTACCACTAGAGGCAGCCTCCAGTGGTCTAGAGTGCCACACAAAAAACAACTGGGATATTTATTAACCCAAATTCCTGGTTTATGAAATTGGGACTGTGTTGGATTAGTAGAAAAAGCTACAAGAAGGCACATCATTAACTACAGACCCCCACTGTGAGAAATGCAACAACTTGATTCAACAGAATCAAATAATAAACACAAATATGACAAAATAATATTGTATAATAATTTTGAAGTCAGTGTATTATTCTTAGGACATTAGTTCACAGTGAAGAACAAGGTTGTTCATATAAAATTACATTAGCCTTTAACATGCAACAGTAAACTTCACTTGTATACCAGATTTTAGTAAACAAGGTATCATAATGAATATTTTACTAATTTTTTCCACGTAAAGTTTTACTTTTTTTTCCTACATGTTTCAAATATTTATCCTTAAGCTAATTCATATTTAAACCACTTATATATATATATATTTTTTTTTTTTTTTTTTTTTATTTTGGACTTCACATCTGCAGTCAATTAACATGGGTCTAGTAAGGAGGAAAAATAATTCAAATGCTTTATATATTTTCTGAGATGCTAATTTGTATCTTTTACCAGAAACCACGGTCTACAGAGAGGCTACACATGTTTAAAAAAATATAGCCATACATAAAGGTATCAGTCAGGAGAAGAATACAACAAAATTCAACATGTTATGTATTTACAATGGCTAAGTGAAGATAGTAATCAGTAACTGCAGGAAACATGCCAAGTAACATGTCATGGTCTTAAGAATCTGATTTGTGAGCATCAGTGAGTCCAAGAATGTATTCAAATGAACAAAAGATCTGCTTCAGTTGAAAAGGTTACAAAATGATAGAAATGGAGGTCACCTAAAGATGATTGTGTATAAGAGATGTCCTCACAAACTGATAGGAGGAAAGGCAGGTAGGTGGGATTCTGATAAAGCCCAACTGAAGAACACTGAATATTGTTTCAAATGGTGGTTTAACAAAACTACCATTTGACAACCTTAGTTGAAGGTTGTTGCAATGAAAATAAGGCAATGCAAACTAACGCAAAAAGGACATTGCAGCATTTTAATTCCGCTCCCCGACATATATGTTTGTTTTTCTGTTGAATTGTGTAATATTTATGTCACATTTACTGTAGTTTCTGTTTTCACGTCACAAAGAGCTGTACTTAGCACCATAGCACTATGGTCAATGCTTATATGCTGCCCTAAGTCTCCAAATAAAGTTTGTTGTCTTGCAATTTCATTTTTGCACTGTTTTAGTTGTATTATTTCTGAAATTCAATTAACTTAACCAAAGGATGCCCTGACCTGAGGAGGACAAAAAACAAATATTTTATGTGGTTTTATGAGTTTTGTTTTTTTAATTTTAATAGTTGATACATTTTTTTTTGGGAGGGGGGGGGGGGTAAGGGAGTTCTATCTTAGTTTTTTGTTTTTTTCCCCCTAATCTTTTTCAATAAAGAAATAAGCTAAAAAATAAAATATTTTTATTGAACTTTTCTAGGAATGCATGTTAATGGATTTTTTTTCCCCCATCTCACTCTCAGTACTATAATTAAAGATAATTGACTTTGTTGGGGTGGTTAAAAACCACTATATGAGACTTATAAATTGTGTTGAATTGATACTTACATTATCCAGGACTAGGTTGGTTTTAACTCAACAGTTTTTATAGTGCAAGATTAGAATAAATGGCTGGATTAATAATTGAAAGTTACTTGACAAACTTCAAATTACATAAGTATGATCAAATATAAACATGTAGCTCAACAAAGCTGCACAAAATAAGATTAACCTATACTGAATATAATTTAATCAAAGCGGTTTTATTATTATATTTTTGTGTACCAATGTGTCCACCAGAAAGTCAAATGGTTTAGTATTACTTTACGTGTTAAGCACCTACCATGTGACGCTTTTAAAGGCCTATAATGTTTCCGATAATCGAGCATCTTTGCTTTCTGGTTCAAGCAGGGGGCATGTATACTTTATTGAACGAGATTTAATGATCGGATCCTCTAATTCTCTGCTTTTTAAGCTCTTAAAAGCTTCAACCAGCGCGCTGCTACTGTAGGATTCTTACTCCTAGTGTTAGAACAGCCCTTCTATACTCTCCAGCTCCTGCTCAGCTACACCGCCAGAAATAAATATGCCGCAACTTGCATTTCTGCCTCCAGTAAGGCAACCAAACGCCGCTGCGCTCACCTCCAACAGTGGCGGTCGGGTCTCTTCCACTGAAGTCTGCAGGGCGCTCCAGCTGTCAACGCGCCAAATCCCGCGACTTTTTCCCGGAATGCTGATAACGAACCCGGGCAGGAATCACTGCAGATGTGAGATCCGGGGAACATGTAGCGGTACTATCCGTGCAGCATTCCCAACTCCTCCTTCCCCAGCCTCGGTGTGGTACCGACCGTGTAGGAAACGAAATTTCTCTCCCTCTTTTTTTTTTTTTTTTTTTTTCTGAAAATGCTGTACCGATGTTTGGCCTGTGCCAGAATGTCCGACGCGGATTAGTGATGTTTTGAAATTTTGAGAGGTCAAACTCCGCCCCTAGTGTAGCCTCAAGTGCACTGCCGCTCCATTGCAATCCTCAGTCCCTGCATGGAAAACTGTGTGCCGGAGGAAGGTCAGACTTCCAACTTGTCATGATGGTGATGAGAGAAGACATCACATGACCGCACTGGTTTCATAATCATGCAGCACTGTGGGGACTAACCCCTTCCTGTTTGGTGGAGATGCTCTCAGTGAAACGTCAAATCAACATTCAAATTTTAAGGGAAAAACTGAAGTGAACAAATGAGAGCAATAAATTTGCTTTTTTTTTAATTTATATCACAAGGTATATAAAGTGCGATAGACACTGATCTGTTATCACAATTTTCTATTGAGCTTTTGAAATTTGTAACTGTGCACTGTCGATATCTGAGGGACTCTGATGCTGCAGTAAGCAAGACAGGGTATTGCAAAAAAATAAAAAAATAAAAAATGGGGCAGATGGAGAGCCTGGCAGGGAAAGGCTGCAGAGCTTCGCAGGTTATAAGTGGAGACAGGAGGACTAAAAGAAGCTGATGCAAGCTGCAGTCAGCAATAGTCCCGCTGAACTGTGTGTCTTATTCTAACAGATTTTGGTGCTTCTCCCTAAAATACAAAGATACAGAAAGGTTTTAAAAAGTGATGCCCAGATAAACACACAAAAATATTGCACATGTCTTCCAATCTTTAAACGAACAGAAACGTTTCTGATTGTTTTTTGTTCTCTCACAGTCGTTGCCACTGTTGAAATTGACTTGGACTCTGAGATAGTTTACATAAAATGTATATGTGGGGACCATTTCTTCCATTAAAGTTTAGGTCTTAATATAATTAAATGTGAAACTCTAATGTTTTGTATCTTTTGCAGATTTGCATATGTGGGGATAAGAAAGAGCTGCAAAAAATCTGAATCAAAGTCATTTTGGCAAAAACTAAGATCAAATGAGTTGACCTCAGTTTATCACTTAGTTAATAACAAAAGAATGGGATGTGAAAACTAAAATCAATCATGAATCAATATCAAGTAAATTTGTTGATGCCCTCGTTGGGTTTTATGTAAACTATCTCACAGTCCAAGTCAATTTCAACAGTGGCAGCGACTGCGAGAGAACAAAAAAACAACCAGAAACGTTTCTGTTCGTTTAAAGATTGGAAGACATGTGCAATATTTTCTTTCCCACTAAAACATTTATGTGAAAGAGACAAGGATGTGCAATCCGCAGGGAGGAATGGGGTGTGAAAAAAAAACCACAAAGAATTTGTTGGCTGATTTTAGTGACACTGCATATTTTTTAACGTCAAATGTGTTAGCGCTATAAACCTTGAAACCTCCCTCGGGACACATAAAGAGACGTTTTTGTATTATTTATAAAGTATGTCTGCAGAGGGGGGAAAAAAAAATTTAGTTGATATTTGTCTCGCCGGATATGGAACACCGGAACTCTTTTCAGATCAGCCGTCAAAGTCAATGCTGATGTTCTAAAGGCTATTTTTGGAGATAGATATGTCTGTTTTATTTATTTATTTTTATTTTTTGCAGGTTTCTGTGAACTGCCAAGCTGTAATGTCACTGTACAAGTCACTACAGACGTGTCAGTTTTGTTGTAGATTCCTAAAGTTTCTTTAGTATTATTATTATTATTATTATTAAAAAATTGCATTACGCACAACCACATTTACTGTGGTTATATTTACTTTCCACCATGTACCATAAATATCCCAAAAGTAAAGAAAATATTCCTAATTTCTATCCGATTAATGTAACTTATGTCTTCATTTGTTTTAACTCATCCTAAAGCCTGTCCCCTGGGAACTTCATCCTATTTATCTCCTTCTCTTGCATTTTAGCTGCAGTGGCTGTTTCAGATATGGGTGACATGGGCAACCACCCAGGGCAGCATCTCGTGGAGGGCGTCATGACACCTCCACTAACCTGCGGATCTTCCCTCACCCCCACTGGGACGTGAATGTTACAACAATCATGGATCAATCATGTGAGAAAATCTGGAAGTGGGGCAGAATTTTACATTCCAGCAGGACTATTATTACAAACACGCAGATTGACGTATGTGTGTTAAAAGTGTATACAGTCAAAATCCACATATACCCTTTTCAGACCTTTATGTGTAAACAATTTTGAAATCCATGCATCATTTTTATTTCACTATATTGGTATACACTGCTTTGTGGTGGCCTGTTGTATAAAACATCCATAAAATACATTAAATCTGTGCTTGTGACGTGACAAAATGTGAAAAGTTTTGCTGTAAAATGTCTCTTTCATCATTGATTTCCAGATTGACCCACCCTGATGAATACAATTTTGCTCACTGTGAATGCTTCCCACATTGGGCACAAGGCTTCGTCTGAAGAACCGAATGTTTTGCACTTAAAAAAGAAGCTAAAATGAACTTCTTTCATCTTTCATTGTTGCTTGAACTACTCACACACTTGATGTTTTGGACATGGCAACAAAATGGCTCAAGTACATACAATATACAGTATGATCATGATGAAAACTTAGTGCACTTTTTTTATGGGCTAATGCCTGTTAACACAAAATATTCATCTGATTGACAGGTCTTAAAATTTAGTGAAACATTTCTGATCTGATTAACAGAAATACAAAACAAAAATCACTGCCTGTTACATGATCCAATTGCCCAAAAAACTACTTTAGCAGAACTCATCTGTGTGATAATATATGACCTTTCATCTGTTCCACTAAAGGTCAAAACTAAGTTCACGTTCAAAGGCTTTTTCTTTAATGGGTTCGTCTATGATGAAGCTCTTTGGATTTTTACCATTTTTTTTTTATGTTCTGTTTTGTCTGACAGAGGAACCTTGGATGTCTGTTACTGTGGACACTGGAAAGTATTTGGAATATTTTCCAGATTGCTCCTTCCTCCAGGCTCATGCTGTGTTTAAAGGCCTGCAGACTTTTCAGCCCCCAAAGCTTCTCCTTTCATAGACACATGCTGTTGATCTGATAGTGAAGTGCATTTGATTAGCAGCACCAGGCTGCTATTTATCACACTGCTGTTTACATTCTCATGTTTTGGCCTTTGGTTTAGTTTTCAGTGAATCACACCTTGTGTAATAAATTTGTATTTAAGGTTGCACTACCCCGATTTGTAGGACCTGGATGAACTAGGTGATAGGATATGTATGTCCTGCTTTTACTCAGAACACTTTTTAATCTTAATCTAATATTTAACCAAACATTTTGATGTTGCTTTTGTGCTTAATTGTATCTAACAGACACAGTTGAAGACAGGCATTTATATACTCTGTATATTCTTCCCCCACCCCCTGAAAACTTCCACTAAATGATAAATGATGATGACTTTATTGTACAGAGCATATATCCAAATGTGCAAATGTTATGTACATAAAATATCCATCTTATCATTTGAATATTGTTTATTTACAGCCTTCTTCTGGATATTGAATGCAAATTTTGTAATGTGTCATTAAAATAAGTACTACTGTCAGAAAACAGGTAAGTTAACTTCTCTGTCAGGTTCACTGGATGTAATATTAAATGCTGTAAAGAAATTACAGTGGTGAAACTAATAGACCCCCCTCCTTTGTCCCGTTCTGCAGGTTGATCTTAATCGCTAAAGGCTGCGTTGTGTTCCCGTGTTCCAGTTGAATCCTCTACAGGTCATCAGACTCAGGCACACTGAAGGACTCCAGGGTGATAGTTGGTAGGATGAGATGAGTGCCCTCAGATATCCACCCCTGGGCCGTCCTGTTGAACGTGGGCCGCTTGGCCTGGGGGTCGCTCAGCTCCTGGTACTGCGGCGGGCTCAGGTCCACCTCGGGGAGCTTGAATGTGATTCCTCTTGGAGCTTTTTCAAAACCACCATAAGGAGTGGCAACCCTGCAGTTCAGAGCAACATACTGATTGCTTTGCATGCCATAACCTTCCCTTTTGGATTTATGGAATTATTGCCGTTTTCTCACCGGTTGAAGCATTTGTATTCAGGGAGCTCCTGCCGTGGCTCTGGCTCTGGCATTCTGAGCTGCAGAGATTCAGCAAGGCTGGGGTCACTAAGAATCACCTGTTCCCACGGTGAGTGGTAACTCTTATGCACAGGCAGGGTGTCTAGCTTTTCTGCAGCCATGTCTGCGGAAAAAGAGAGACGGATGTGACAACCGCTTCCGTATCACAACAGGCTGATCTATCAGTTTGGATTGCCGACGAGGCCTATTTGTTTTTTTTGTTTTTTTTCAGAGCTGTTTTCTGCAGCCCGAAATTTTCAAAGTGGATGCGATTAAAATAGCTACAGTGGCAACTTAAAATAGAACGTTTCAAGTGTGAGCTCATTGTATAAGGACTTAAGGCTTCACCAAAGCATTGCAGAAGGACTGCAGGGCTTTAAAAATGGTAACAGTAACTAGGACTCTCCGGTTAAATCGTCTTTATGGACAGTCCTAAGATGAATCAATTTTCAGAAAATAAAATCACATAAAACTGATAATTTATGTTATTGTTTCAATCAAACACTTATTTTGTTAGTTATTTTTATTTTTTATAAAGTATCCTTGGAGTGAATTGTTTGTGTTCTATGATTTTATTGATTATGATGATGATGATGATGATGATGATGATGATGATGATGATGATGATGATGATGATTATTATTATTATTATTATTATTATTATTATTATTATTATTATTATTAAGTGCAAGTTGAAATCTTTAATATCCATGAAATAGGCGTAATGAAATGCACAATTACCTGAAGCTGAATTTGCAGCGCTACCATTTGCCGGCGGCTCCACCTTAATCTCCACAGAGTGTGTGTTCTGATTCAAAATGTCATTCTGCAAAACAGCATATTGAGCAAAGGCTTTGGTACCAGACATTTTAAAATGTGCATTGCTTAGTGGCTTCATTTATATAGGTTAAACCAAGAGACCAGTTCCAGTCCCACAGCTTATCATCATGCACTGATAAACATGGTAGCAGCTCTTCAAGTTAAGTGCCTAAGCAGCCTCTCAGATGAAACAGCTGCAGCTTGTCACAGCTATTGTCTGTGTGTTCTACCACTTTATCACAAAGAACATATTTCACTTAGAAAACAGAAAAAATAAAAACCCTATACAGATCCACTCCTGAAATCCATAGCGTAGACAAGACTGGATTATATCTAATCATTTAAAGAGATTTAGGGCAAAAAGAAGCGGGCTTACGTTCAGGAGAGCGTTTGCTTCGTTTTGAATGCTTTCGAATGTGTATTTCTCAGACCTCCTCTGTCGCATTTTGAAGAGCCGAGACCCTCTGTTGGAGAGCAGTGACAGCTCCTCTAGCATGATGTCTTTTGGAGTGCTGAGCTTCTTTCCCAGGTCCATGACTCCTGACACCCAAAAGAATTTGCTTATTGATTTTGTACATAGTATTCTAAGCAGATCCCTTTGCTTGACAGATATGGTTGACAACAGCATAAACCAAGGAAATGATCAATTATCAGTCAAAAATACCTTCTGGGTTTCTTGAATTGCAATTCAATGAAGGCCCAAGGAATGAAATGAGATAAGTTTGAAGTGTGTGTGACAACAAAAGCCACAAAAATCCCAAATAAAAAGCAAGGTTTATTTGGATAGCACATTTCAGGAACAAGGCAATTAAAGGTGAACAATCAACTAAAAAGAAGAAAGAAACATTGCATCAGTGGCAAAATAAAGAGAAGCAATGAAAGGTTGTACTTATCATTTATCAAAGCAGATGGGTTCTTAGCCTTGATTTAAAGGCACTTAGTGTTTGACTACTTTTGCAGTTGTCTGGAAGTTTGTTCCAGATACATAAAAAAATAATAATATTTAGGATTTCTGGCCAACAGTTCCAAAAAACTTTGCTAAATTGAGAGCAGCATTATTTTAGAATAATAATACTTAAGTAGAAAGAAAAAGTAGTCATTAAAAAATTATTCAAGTAAAAGCAAAAAGAAAAAAAAAATCTTTTTGGTGGAAACACTACTCAATTGAGGAATAACTGTTTGATCATAACGTCTGATTCATTTTGTAGAAATCATGTAGTCACACAAATGATCACACTTTTAAATAATACATTTTAAAAAATGCTGAAAATTCCTAACATCTTTAATAAATTCAGATTAAGGCACAAGTAAAACAAACATTCATTTTTCTTACACAACAAATAACTTCAAAGCCTTACTTCAAAATTACTCAAGTAAGGGAGCTGTATGGTGAAGCAAAACTACTTCTGGGAGCACAAGAGAAATGCAACTTAGGTAAACATATCTGAGTAAATATAATTGTGCGGCCCAGCGCTGGGTATGTCTGGTCGAAAACTGAAACTACAAATGTCCCTGAACGCATCACCCCCCATGACAAAACTATGGAGATGGATAATGAACTTCCAGATCTTCCATCAATGAACCAGTATGTACAGCCAAACCTACAACTGGGTTAAATCAAATATATTTATGCACTGGAAGGGATCAGTCAAAGTTTAGATGCAAATGAATGACAAATATTTGCTAAGATTTCAAACACTATCTATCCAAACTCAGTAAATCTGATTTTTCGGTAACACTTTATTAGAAGGAGGGTGAATAAGACTGACATGACACTTTAATAAACATGTCATAAACACCTGTCATGAACATGAATAAGCCTTCATGAATATTTATGACTGTTGTCATAAAGCGTCATTCGGTAAATTATGACACTTTTAATACAAAGTTGACATTATTCAAAATGTCTTTGTTATGACAACTTGACATTAAAAATTAATAAATCATTCCTGTTTAAACTTTACCTTCAATAACGTTACCTAATTTTTAAAGTGCAATCAGTAATACTTTTATAACAAATTTGTATCAAAAATGTAATTTTTAACCAAATAAAATTTCATCAAAACTTTCCCAGTTTCTATTTTTATCACGAGTCCTGTTCCCAAATTAAGCCATCATTGTGCTTGAGCTTAGTTTTTGGGTACAAGATGTTTCCTCATTCACGTGCACAGACAGAATGCGCCCCAGCTGCTGCAGACCTTCACGTTGCCCAGTCAGCTTCACAGTTGCTCTGAAAAAACTTCCCTCCCATCTTTCACCAACACTCCCACCCAGTTAGAAATAGCCTATAGTGAAAGAACAACGACAAGGGATTAGGCAGCCTTCACAGTAAATCATCCCAATGTATTTATGGCTCACACTGGTCAGTAGCCCTGACATTTTGAACTCTGCTGTTTTGCTCTGTCTCCTTATCGCAACATGGAGAGCTGCGCACACAGCGTCTGAGCTCCTCTTCTTCTCGCTCCTGCATGTTTCTAGCTGTGAACTGGGGCTTGAATGGGAACATAAAAGAGCCTTTAATGGGACAGATGAATCTAAGTGCTGAAGTGATGTCACCATTATAGGAAGATACAAAAAGGCTGGAGAGAAACTCTAATGATTAAGGCATCAGGACACACTGCTGAGTTATCTGGGGTCTCAAGAGTATTTGAATTTGCAGAGCATAGGTTGATAAATACAGTAGTTGCAATCACACAGCTTAATTTACAATTTTCCAAATTAAAAAATATTTAATTTTACCCCAATTTTAGGGAAAGTAAATATTGTAACGCAAATGCTTACAAAGTCATTGTGCTTGAATCTGAGCTGAAATGTTTACTTTTTGTGAAGCGATTGAAATTTTGCCCATGGTTGCCTTTGAATGCAAAATTAACTTTGGCCCCTTCTATCTAAAAGAAATTCAAATCTGGTTACCATAATGCACAATGCCTTTCTTCTCACTTTCAGCCTAATTAGGCATTATTTTTCAATTTAAAACAAAAACTTTTAAAATGGTAACTTCTCATATTGATGCACTTTTCTCTTAAACAGAACTCCAGAATTTAAAACAAAGCTAGTCAAAATGATCTAAAAAAAAAAAAAGAACAATCCCCACTTAAAACTTGTGTAAATTCATAATAGGTTTTAAGAAGAAGAAAATGAGGAACTTTCTGATCTGAACTTGAAAAAGTGAGTGATTCCCCCAAAGCTAAATCTGCTCAAGCCCTCATATAACATTAGGCTGGTTCTCATTTTACTTTTAGAAAATGTATTGATACAATAAATAAGTATTTTTCAAAATAAATAAATAAATCTGTCAGCATAACTCGTAGAGTGTTTATTATCTTACAGTAATGTTAGGATCTACATAGAGCTTTTAATATCTATGTAATCACATCTCAGTTGCATCCTCTTTTGTGGGACTGCAGGCTAAACTCAGTGATATGCTCTTTTAAATTTGTTAGAGGTTAAATTACCAGTCTGAAAGGTCAAGGATTAATTGTGCCCTAAGTTTGTGTAAGTTGCCATGCATAAAACATGTCCACCAGTGCCAACAGAAGTGTTCAAACATTAGGTCGCTCTCAGCTGTTGGTGAAGTCCATCTTTTCATTTTGCTAATCAACCGCAGAACTTAATGCTGGTTTGTAAAATAGCTAAATAATAGTTAAATGCTTTTGTTTGTTGTGTTCATTTACCGTAATTGTAACTAAAGAAACATTTTATGTTTATTTTATATGCAAAACAACAAGTAAGTCAGGCTGTGTGTGTAAAGGAGATGGGGGAAAAAAAACAAACAAAAAAAACAGCCACAAAAATGTGAAAATGTGCCTTTAGTTTCCTTCCAACATAAAAGTCACATGCAGATGGATTCATCCCCCCTGAAGCGCCACTCTCCATTATTGCAGACTGATTTTAGTTACAGCACCAGATTATTGAAGCGCTCCTTTATAAGACGTACCTGTCGTCGTGTCCCTGCTGTGCAGCCCGTATCCTTGAAGGGGAGACACGGAGACGAAGGGGTCAGTGGTGTGTGATCTTTGCTGATCTTCAAGCTCACAGACACTAAAGCCTAACTGTGAGTGTGTCTCTGTCTCTGTTGTGAGTGGAATGCAGCTTGCATCAATAGGCTAAATTTAACCTGTCAAACACTCAAAGCCACTCTCAGACACTATGGGGCAAGGATAGTGAGTAGAATAGATGATGGGATGTGGATTTCCACTCGGATGTTCTCGGGGAATGAAGATTCTCCCACTTGAGAAAACTTGTTTCCTTGTTTCTGACTCTTTGGGGATGACATGACACATCTTTGAGGTTTGACGTAGCTTTGAGTTTAACACGCCTTCAAGTTGGTGTGGTTCTCGACATGGGGCGCAGCTACAGTTTCTAATTCTTCTCTGCAAATTCGATTCCTGTTAGTCTGTGTAATAGCTGACTAGTGACTGTCTAATTGGCTTAGCAATATTAGTAAGCTTTTTTTATTTTCTAGTGGTTGCACAATCCAACACATTCATCAAGTTTTAAAAAATGTAGAAAAATCCAACTTTTAATTTGAACACATGCATTCATTAGAATTGGATTCATTTTCTCCTGGAACTGTGCAATAATGTACTTTGTCCAGATGAGACTTTCATAAGGCCTTTCAGCAAAAAACACTCAAGTTGGTTCTGGAGTAAAGAGAAGAATAGGTGAAAATTAAGCACTTCAACCCCATTCTTTTCTCCTGCACATCTTATGAATGCTGCCAGAAAACTGAATTAAGGCTTACAATGTGACCTTCTCAGTTCTCAGATCTAAATATTGACATCAGAGTTAATCAAGTGATAATGAGCCTGCTTTTGAATATAAAAAAAAAGAACAAATAGGTGTACTAACATTACTGATTGGGATATTCTAATGAAACGAAAGACAAACCAGATTCCAGGCTTTATCCAAGGAGGTTAATTTTAATTTACCGATAAGGACACTCATGAAATACTGAATATTTACAGTTCTCTGGCTAATTCAAAGACATGTAGATTCATTTTAGACTGTTATTTTCCAAAACTAGAAAATGTGTGATCGATAAATAAAAAAGAAGCGCAATCCCAGGACAGAATGAGTCCCATGTTAAAATATATCCATACATTTTAAAAAGTGGATTACAAGCACAGTTCTCATATTGTTTATTGGTCTTATAAGTGACTAAAGAAAAATAAAACAGAGAAAACTACAGAAAGAATCACAGGGCTGCATCATGGAAAAGCTCAAAACCACAAATCTATTTGTGAAACACAGCACAGTATGGATACTGATCAATGTGATAATACATAAAGTTATGTCTGAAACAACTATTCCTTCTAAGTTAATTCATTAAGTTAACCACTGAATCAAACACTCGTTCACACATAAATACATTTGGAATTACATTGCGTAAATGTGCAAAAATACCTTGCAGGAAAGAGAAAAAAAAATGCAATGCTCTGTGCGTATGTGGCCGTCGGTGGAGAGGAAACAGCTCAGCGTATTTTGTTGCAGTGACAGAGATGAGCTACCGATACAATTGTGGAGAATTATGATATATATGATACATTTACATCAGCTGAAATAAGATTGCATTGTAAAATCACAACACAGTCCACAGCAAACTTGATTAAAACATTTTTTTTTAAAAAATGATCCATTAAAGCTACACTGGAACTGACAGTAGCTTAAAAAGCTACATGTGTTTATTCTTCACAAGGATTGATGGTAATAAATGTTGGTAAGAAAAAATCTCATCATACAGACAAAAACTAAGTATATGTGAAACAAAACGACTATGTGATCTAAAACACTGCTGTTCAGCTCACCAACACTTAAATATCTTCTTATTCATCTTCTTCTCTAAACATTCACCCTCTAAGCACAAACAAAAATCACACAAAATAAAACTCCCCCCCCCAAAAAAACAAACAAACCAAAAAAACATATTTGCTTAGTTCTGAATTAAAAATGGTTTCTTACCATTGAATAACTGGCTTTTAGTTTGTTAGATATTTTCTTTTCTTTGATGAATCCAATAATTAAAAATTATTTTCTGAATGTAAAGATGCAGTTTCTGCTCTTTATCTACTCAACAGAGACTAGCTGCTTGTTCACATATCATTTTGTGTTTGACGTGTTCTTCTTATGTAAAGTGGTTTAAAATAAATCTGAGTAAAGAAAACAAAAACTTCTATCAAGGGCAATTTGATTCACTAAGTCAAACATGGCTTCTTGCAAAATGACTCTAACCTCGTTTTTGTATTACAACCACAATAGTTGACACAATATCTAACATGGGCTTTCTTCCCTTGCTACTTCTCAGTAGCATTAACTTCTCTGCGATGTGCTATAAAAATGAGAGAACTTATTTGGACTTTGTGCTTTGAATCCAAGACTGATGGGTCTTAAGGGCTGGGCAGGTCTGAACGGGGGCCCGCAGAAGGCTGGTTTCTCCTTTCTGCTCGAGGACAGCGCTTGGAATGATGGAGCCAGATGCTCGTAGTGACCCTTACTCACAGGAGCAGAATCGAGAGAAACCCGGCGCTTCCAATCCTCTGGAGGCTCGGGCAGAGATCTGTGATGTGCTGCTGCCATAACGTCAGACGCGATGGAGGACATCGAACTCTGGAACACGAAGGCCTCGTCCACGGAGCCGATTGGACTCCTTGATGCTGCCTCCCATGGCGACAGAGGTTTCCTGTGAAAGGATGTTTGCCTCTGCGCGGGAAAAAAAGCTGTCTGGACTCCAGGCGTGCTCAGAGGTGACAGAAATCCAGGTGAAGGCAGTGAATTCAGTCGCTGTGGGAGGCTCAGGGAGCGGCTTCTCCCAAAAACCTAAAGACAGAATCAAGAGCTTAGTATTCAGATGCAGTTTTGCAGACTCTGCTGCCATCCCTGGGCTTCTTTTGGCCTGAACAGGTGAATGGTATTTCAATAAAGCAGCATTTTAACCATAATGATACACTTGAACATGCAGGTGTAGGAATTCAAGAGAATGCAAGATTTGTTTTCTGTATGTCACATTTAGTCAGTTAAATAATGCATGAATTAAACTCTGGACTGCTGGTTTTCCATCAGTAGAGTTTTGTTCTGACTTTAAAACCTTTATATTGTGTTTTGGAAAGCAGTCCATGTTTAAAATGTATTTTCTAAAGCCAATCTTGAAACCGTTTTGGAGATTTTTTGAGGCTCATTGTAATTCCTGAAAACATATAAGGATCTAGATCCCACAACAACTAACTAGTTGGGATCTTACAACTATATAAGATCTCATAACGAGATCTTATATAGTAAGACTGCTGTGTTAGTATAGCGGAAAATATAAAGATCACACAACTTACCTCATGTTTCTTCAAAGACCTTAAAACAAATAGTTGAATGTGAAAAATTATAAATTTGTACATTTTTTGGAATTAGTATTTTGCCAATGTCACCTTCTTTCATTTGAAAATCCAACCCAAACACATTTATTGTGTGTCTGCTTCAAGGAAGAAAATCTCTTTGCACATCCTCCCAGCTAAATTGTTTTCCATGATAATTACAATTTTCTCAGGCTTTAAATTTTATATTTTTAGAAAAAGAAATTCACCTTATCCTAAAAATTTGATTATTTGTTCAAAACTGGAATGCCATAAGATAATATCTTGGCCAAGGAGTTATTACTTTCAAACATGCCTGGTCATATAAAACCCTAAATTACACGTGTTTGTTAAAAGAGATACTAGGCATTTTTTGTTTGTTTGTTTGTTTGTTTGTTTGTTTGTTTGTTTGTTTGTTTCTGAGGTCAGATAATTACTTTAGATTACACCGCTACTACCATTACAATAATATTGTGAATTCAACTAGTCCTGGTGGCATTAATACCACCTACCACCAATAATAACTCCAATAATATTTTTCTTTTACTCACTATTATTACAATTAATAATAAATATCATTAATATTATAAATTGCAGTTATAATATTTATTAATAGTAATAATACTATTTATTATTATTATTATTATTATTATTTTTTTTTTATTATTTTATTATTTTTTTTATTTATTTATTTTTTTTGCCGTGTTTGTTTGTCCTGTAAATCCTTATAAAGGAAGCAACTGGGAGGTAAATTATTTATTAAGAAACTAAACAGAATAGAACATTTTAAAATATAAATCTTTTTGAATCTGCATTTCATTTTCTATTATTTTAAATTGCATTATCAAATGTAGTGAATTGTTCAATATTAACTGTTTAGAGTCCAGGTCATCCTTGACCTGGTCACTTATTTTTTTTTTTTACCTGCATCAAAATGAATTCAGCAATTACTGCTTTTGCTACTAAACAAAAGCAACTTAAACTGAAACCAAGGAATGTTTAACGTATCATGCAGTTTGTTTTATAAACTATGTGCTTGAGATTTAGGATATAAACAATTGTATAGTTCAAATGTCTCAAAACCTAGTTTTAAGACATTTTTAATACAAGTTTTGCTTAAAGATTACAGTTCCAAGCTTTTCATATTTGCTGAATGTTTAGCTAAATGAGTGAAACAAACACATACAAGTGTGCATTCAACTCGAAAGAGTGAAGTGGTGAGACAGGAGGAAGCACTGGCCACTCAAAGCAGTTATCAGTGCACATAAAAGACAACAAGTAGGAGAGGAAAAATTTAATAGCATCACAGTGCTACAAGAAGTTCAAGAAACAGTAATATGTCAGAAAGACAGAGATACAAACAGGACAGATTTGTTTAGATTTTATTCTGAATTACAAATAACATGAATAAATTTTCTAGTATTAAAGTATTTGTAATTTATCAGCTTTCAAAAATATAACCTTCATTAAAATCTTTTTTTTTTTTTTTTTTTTTTTTTTTATTACCCAATTGGAAG